GATGTTAAAAGACTTCTCTAGTACTCTCATTTGGTTGCAGAGTCCCAAGGACTTCAACTATTCTTCACTGCTTTCTCAGGCCATAAGTAGGGAGCTTGAAAGGAAATGGGGCAGCCAGGACATGAAGCAGTGCCTATATGTGATGCCAAAAGCAGAAGCTTAGCCTACTGCACCATGGCAGCGGCCCCAGTTTTTTGTAATAATGGAAGTAACTGGAAATAGACTGTGTATCATGATTGACCATCATGTCATGATGGAAACTCTTCTGTAGAGAATTTAAAGTTCAAGGTGAAGTCATTCATGATTTAATGAATTCCTGTAGCACATTTCAGCATTTCCCCAGGTACTACAAAAAACAGAGAGACATAGGAGATATGTGTTCTGCCATCAGGGAGGACTTTTAACCAGATTACATTAAAGGAACTCTCTGTCATATGGATTATTTTCCCTAAAGAAGTAATCCAACTAAGTCAAAAAGATATATGCATACCCTAGGACTACCCAACCACCTACAATAAAAGTAGATTATTTGCAATCTAACTCTAGCTTCAGGAAATTAACAAATTATAAAACATCAGCATAGAAAATATTCTATACTAATTAAAATATGAAGAATATTGAAACATGGAAAATTCACAAAAACATGTGAAACAAAAGCAAAATAAAATAGAATAGATCCCAAGTGTGCTTTTCTCTTAACCATATATAAATGTAAGAACTATCAAAAAAAGAAATTAGAATATTATTGGAAAAACTCTTAGTCATGTCATGGTTTGATATTAAAATGGAATCTTACCTTGCAATAATATTCTTCAAAATATAACCTTTCTTGACTTATTTTCAACACCTCTAAAAGCTCCATTACTATTATAATTGCATGATGAGTATAAAACACAGGACATTTAAGGGTTAAAACCTTCCTTTTTTATAATGACAATATTGATATCTATTGACATCCTAAGAACCTTTTAAGCAAGTACTACTATTATAAACTCAAAGAGCTTGTTGAAATAGAAACACCTTAGCTCAATCTAAGCAATAATTTTTTTACATATTTAGATGTATGACGAGCATAAAAGGACTTTAAAATTTCTTGGAAATTGGAATAAAAAGGTAATGTAAATTTATCATGCACTTTTTGAAGTCATCTTGCATGTATTTATTGCATCTTAAAGTACAGCATTACCATTTTAACAGTCATGTCTTTTATCCAAATTGACCCTAATTTACACCCAGAATTTTCCAATTCTAGCCCCTCCATACTTTTAGGAGGAAAAAAATGAGACCCTCGACCTTCAGACCATGATATGTGCTTTTTTCAGTGGGAGCTGCTGGTTCTGCTGTAGAGTCATTTCTCAGGTGGGCAGAAACCACTAATCACCAAATAGCAGAAATGTCTGCATGCTCAGCAAATCGCAGACTGAATTTATCATGGTGCATGTTTGATAAGAAAGGACATTTATTGTTTAGTAGGTAATATTCCAGAGAATTCACATGCAAATGATGGCGAGCCCTCAAAGTTAGAAAATAGAGGCATTTTTCAACTTCTTTTTAAATTGCTGTGAAATGAAACAAAAGTTATTGCACAGTGGCTGTGAACAATGAGGAGGCCCTGACCTTGCTGAATCAACTGCCAGTGCTGTCGTGTAAAGGCCAGAGAGTAACTAGGTTACTAAAGATGTGTAGAGAGAAAGAAAATTATAGAACTGAACCATCCTAAGAGCAAATGGGGAATGCCTAGAAACAGGAAAGCGGGCCATTTGAGCCATTTGCTATACAGAGTGTCCTCCCAGGACCTTTCCCTATTAAGGATATAAAATCAGTGAATTACAATTCCACTGACAAGTGATATGAAATTTTGTAAGCTCAAGAGTTATTCCAGTGCTATCTCATGAGAGAGAAATGGAAGTCGCCTGCCATTACACGTACAGCAAGAATGGTAGAGGAATATGAAAGAAAAGTCTCTTCAAAATGTTCTTTTAATTTCATTCAGTTCCAACAAACTTATTTGACAAACAAAGGAAAAGAGAGCTGTACTGTTTTAAAATAGGACAATTATTCAATGTGTGGTTCTATTTCTATTAAACACATTGAGGGTACCCTGTCCATTTTGATGTTTAAATACAGCCATATTTCTCAAAGTATATTTCATAGAAACTACTCAAGTAATTTAGGGAAATAATGCAAAAGATAATACACATTTTAATGGAGACGGAGAAGTGCTACAATTTAAAAACCTGCTTAATTGTTCTCCATGGAGATCTTTATTATTTTATCTCTTATCTATGAATTTGTATAATGTCACCATCAATATCACCATCCCTAGAAAAAAGTGAGGTATTTATCAACAATTCAACTATTTATTGGTAAGTGCTGTAACAGTTTTTCAATCACTGCACATGACTAATCTTTATTTCAGGTAAAATCATGAATCATTGTAGTTCTGATTAAAATATACAGATCACAATTAACATCAAAGTTTTTACAATAGCTGAAAAGATTGTAATTTAGAATCCCAAATAATAATTGTGGTAACAGAATTGAGTAGTGCTGAAAAGAATGGCTTAAGGGGAGAAATGTGGACAATGTAGCAGTCAAGCAAAGAAATTTTAGGCCTTAGTTAAAAACTCTGTCCCAAATTTGAAGTGATTTTAATCAGAGTTCTTGGGAGTTGAGCCAACTTCCTGAAACAACCTGAGATCATAAATGGCTTAGGTCCTGGTAACTTAAGAGAAGTTCAAGGGATTTTTCAGGGCAATTTTTAAAGGTAGCATTTTTTTTTTTCACATTCACCGCAAGCTTTAACCTTAAAACTTAACTCATTCCTACTCATACTTAGTAGAACAATACCAGAGTTATATAGCAGGTATATGCTATACGGGTTCACAGAGGAACAGCTCTTATTTCATGTTGGATGATCATGGATGTTCATGTGTTATTATCTGCTTGCTTACATGATTCAAATGTGAAAGGCAAAGAGCATGACAAATTGTTTCAATTCATGGGCCTGGCACAGTAGCCTAGTCTCTGAAGTCCTCGCCTTGCATGTGCCAGGATCCCTACATGTTCTAATCCCAACAGCCCTGCTTCCCATCCAGCTCCCTGCTTGTGGCCTGGGAAAGCAGTCCAACGTGGCCCAAAGCCTTGGGACACTTCATCTGCATGAGAGACCCAAAAGAGGCTCCTGGCTTCTGGCTTTGAGTCGGCTCAGTACCAGGCATTGTGGCCACATGGGGAGTGAATCAATGGATGGAATATCTTCCTCTCTGTCTCTTCTCCTCTGTATATCTGACTTTTCAATAAAACTAAAAATAAATAAATCTTAAACTGTTCCAAATAAGAATGCTTAAAGCTGTGGCTATTCTTAAGTCTCCGTGAATGCTTTTATTCTCTCACTTATAAAAAATTAAAAACAATTAATGGATTTTTCAACAACCTCATCCTGTTTGGAGAGGCAAGATTGGCAGCAATTTCAAAACTGGTGACCTATTGAAACCACTTCAACGAGTATCTCGGAGCACGCCCCACATGCGGGACTTGGGGTGGGTGGGAAATCAGGTGGGGCTTCTCCCTCAATATCCCCCTGTACCTCAGATATATGAAGGAAACAATATGGAAATAGTCTTACCCACTTTCCTGTAGCCCTTGACCCTTTATGCACAAATTAACCATGTAAAGATTGTTAAAATAAAAAATGTTAATAATAAAAAAAAATTAAAAACAGAGTAAAAGGAATTTGGACAAACTCTCGATATTTTGATAAAATAAAATAATCCACAATTAACTTCTAATAAGGAAATTTTCATTAATTAGAAAATATTATACTACTTTTAAAAGATTTGTTGTTTTCCTAATTAATATGAACTCCAATCAAAAAATTTTAAATCTGATTTATTATCCTAGAGGGTATATAACACATAGATTTTACTAAAAGCACTTTACCAAATATTTTTAAGCATGCTAAATATTTTGTAATTAATTTTCATGTATTCTATGAGAATAATGCATTTTATTTCCTGAAAAACATAAATATACCATTGTTATTGTTATGCTAATTTTATTATTTATTCCATTTTTTCTTGCCTTAAACTTTAGCTATTGTGTCAGCTCATATATAACCATATCAACCTCTTTGTCATTTATGTAGAGTTGTAAATATGCACAATATATACCGACATCTTCCAAAAATATCAAACTTGCATTTCTTTGTTTTCTTGGTAGACAATTGTAATTTTTACTAAATTACAAAACTATTCACAATCTCAGTGCCCTTTGTATGAGGATGTAAATGTAAAGAAAAGGATTGTTGTTCACTGCCTTTGAGAACTATGAAAGCTAGATTCCTTTTTCTTATTAATATGACCTGATGGTGATTGTTGCTTGGGTGTATGTCAATCTTCTCATGAAACTGAACTCTATCACAGCAGAACTTACTTTTTCGCAAGTTATATATTCATGTTGAATGTTGGGACAAAAATAGAGGCTCAGTTGATGTTTTTACCATAAAAAGGAGGGTCAGTGAGGCCAAGATGGGGGCCAAAAGGGGCAGGGACTCAGTAGCAAGTCAGAAAGTGGACGTTGGAGCAGTTGATGGTGGCTTACTCTCTTTAGGGGTGATGACAAGTGGGCCCTTGTCTTTAAATCCCCAAATTTAATATTGCATATTAAATCCCCAAATGTAATATGCAATCTTATGCAATACAAAAATAATTAAGCAAAGACAGCCAAAATTAAGCTTTCTCAAGATCTAGCAAATGTAACACCCAGTAGTAGGAAAAGATAGAAAAAGACAAAAGAAACTAAGAATATTGTTCCACCAGGGAGAAGAAGTTGATTAGACAAAAACATTTTGTTTAAAATCACTGGTTTGAATAAGATGGAAATTAAAGATGATAAAGTAGAAGGTAAAAATTAGAGCTGACAAGATTATAAGAGCAAACAGAAAGCTAAGTGATTTTGAATTTTGTTTTAAATAGTCTTTGTGGTTCTTTTCCTTCTAGAATGCCAGATTCCCCTGGTGAAGTTTCCGAATATCCTTTATTTCTTACAGTCGGTGACTGGCTGGATTCTATAAAGATGGGGCAATATAAAAATAACTTCATGGCAGCAGGATTTACAACTTTTGACCTGATTTCAAGAATGAGCATTGAGTAAGTGATGCCAGGATCATTACTGTAACCACACATACCACAAAAAATGATAACATATTCAAATGTTATATCAAAAATACGTTCCCAATGGCTACTCTGTGATTTTCAAACTCTTTCTTCCTGATAACCATTCTAATAGAAGGTAGACATTATATGTTTAATTATTGTCTTTGAAAAATATATTTAATTCAAATAACCATTTAAATTTTAATATTTTCTAAAATGCATATTACTCCTGTTCCTATCATATACTTTCCATCAACACAGTTGTATCACATATTAATATTCTGTGACTAATTCTCATTACCTACATCAAAGTAATACAATATTACATTATTTCAGAGGCTCTTCTTTATACTGTAATGCTCAACCACTCTTTAATGTCTCAAAGATGACTCTCTGCCCAGGCACAATAAAAATGTACATTGTGCATCTTTTAGACAAGATGCTATGATGATTACATTGAATAATATGAAATTTCAGTTTCTTTTAGATCATGATAGAAATTGCAAATGGTTAAATTCAAAGAATTGTCTTCGGATTAAATGCAGTAGACATTATGCCTTCTGCATTGTATGAGCATCTTGCTAATATACTGTGTACTTAAATTATATAACCTTTAGGCATTTGAAATGTTTAAACATTACTTAGATATCTAGATATTAAATTTTTCTCATTTAGTTAAGTTTCAGATGAATGTATTCTGTGGATTCAGAGAAACAAACAGAAAAAAGTAAACACTGAACTGTTCATTTTTATCTCTTCTCAATAAGCTCCACAATTTTTTGTCAAATGTAACATCGTGCATGTTTAGTAGATCTAAATGTTTACTTTCTATCTGTCATACTTAGCAGCTCTCTGTCTCTCTCTCCTTCTCTCCCTCTCTCTCTTGCTCAGTGACATTAGGAGAATTGGAGTCATACTCATTGGACACCAGAGACGAATAGTCAGCAGTATACAGACTTTGCGTTTACACATGATGCACATACAGGAGAAAGGATTTCACGTATGAAAGTACAACACGCACCTGTGTTTTGTGCCTCAGCATTTCTAAAATGAAGGATACCCTCTCTTCTACCTTTTCTTTGGATTCTCCAGACATCACTTCACAAACCATGCTCTCCTGCTCAGACTCTAAGCACATACTTTATGTTTATGCTTCAACCTGGATTTTAACATCATGCTGCCATTGAACCTGTCTGAATAACCCTGGCCCACTACAGATTATCACTACTCAGTGATAAACTCAGCATGGATGTGTAATTTTGTACAGGCAGTATTTGTGTTGGGGATGTATTCATGGACTTAACCAGAAGGAATTTGTCAAGGTGTGGCATTCTTAATGATGCATGTAGAGTTTGATGGTAGATGAGGAAGGAATAGTTGACTTTTCTTTCCTATTTTGTGGTCAAGTAGCTTCCAAATTGTCATAAATATATTTTAGATAATTGTATTCAGTCAACACTATGGGTTGCTTTATTTTTCAATCATTTAATTGTTGGTACCTGATGTTGTTAGAATTATTTGCAGTGATGACCACTGACTCCATGTACTGAATTCTTGTTGGTTGTGACTATGGTGAGAGAAGGGTTTTTGGGAGGTAGAGGGTGAAAAATACTGTGCTTTTCAATCTTGCAAGGTTTGTCTATATTCTTTCTAATTAACTTTATAGTGTTCTACATACTTCATAGTAGAATGTAGTTGAGAGGCTTTTCCCCTCTAATTTTTTACTTACTATAGTATATTTCTCTACTACCTTCTTAAATTTCTCCTGGAAAGAACAGGAGTGACTCCCTTGCTTTGAGGGCTTTCATAGAATGAAGCATGAAATAAACCCGTGACTATTCTTTTGATTTACCATCATAAGTTTACATAAGTAATTGTCAAAGCACTGAGAAAATTCCTTGTTCCCAGCAGAACAGCTTAGAATAGAAGGTCTAAGATCATATCATTCAATATAAGGTAAAAAATAAAATATTTAATTGATTTACACAGAATTTGATCAAAGTGTTATGGTGGTCCAAAAAAAAATAAATACATCTAGATGATTATCTGATGTCATTATATTTGCAATTTTATGAATTGTTATCCTTGTATGCAAAGATAAGTCCCAAAAACATGCTAAAGTGTTTCTTAAACATCTGAAAAAATAAATACAAATACTCCATAGATTCTATAAACAGATCTTACACTTGAGCATATGTATGTGTGTGCATATATAGGCATATGAGCATATATACATATAGTGAGTATAAACTTAGACACATAAAGCAGTTACATCAAAATGTGAACACAGCAAGCAAATGCTACCATTATAATTTCAGAGACATGTAACAGGAACAAATATTTTTCCAGTAGATTAAGCAGAATCACTTATTAAAATAGTGCCATCTTAAGAATAAAGAGAATTGTAAAGTCAGTTGATCCTTATACAATTACAAAAAGGACTGCTGTGCTAAGTGTAAAAGTAAGGAGAATACATTAAGGGAGAAAAAATTCACAGCAAGTTGTCTACATATTCTAATTTAATAAATACCTTTTCATTTGATTCAGAGACAAAACTGCCCTACTCATATCCTCATCTGCTACCTAAGTAACATGTTTTGTAATAGTAGCATCCTACTAAGAGAATATCACTTTTTTCCTTTTTCCTTTCCTTTATCCCATTCTGCTAAGTCTTTCAGCATATTTTCTTTTGCTGATTTGTCTCCTGGCTTTTGCCCACCACAGCTTGACTTTTTTAATTGAAAATAATGTATAGAGATAGAAGGAACACTTCAGAGTATTTCTTAAAGTGAAAAAAAAAAACAGTGGGAAATCCATCACTTTTTAAGTGTGTCAGAAATAGCTAGCCACATTTCCTAGTCATCAACCTGCATGGTCATACATCTCTCATAGACTGTCTATAGTTTGCTTGATACATTTACACAAATATGGATACAGTTAGAGGAAATATAAAATTTGCATATGTACCTGTCTTCAGATATATATTAAATGATAACATATGTAAAAGAGGTTAAATTTATTAATCATATATTTATTTTTATAATATGACAAAAAGGTATTTAGAAAAATTAAGAATAGAATAATGTCCTCCATAGGATTCTACCAATGACATCTGTGTAACTTGATGAAATAAATTCTGTTAAAGTATTTGAACTTCTGTGGGTTGGGCATTCTGTGATTACAAGGTTATACATGACTGTTAAGAATATTTCTTTCAGAAAAATCTGATGATTTTAATCTGACTAATTTGCACTTCTTTCTTTTCCTTTTCTGCTATTTATAGTATCATAAAACTCACTTTCACTGTCATCTCACACTGATTTCCAAATTTCCTTTTACTTACATTTCTATGTGTCTAAATTAGAAGCATGATAATCTTTATTGTAATTTTGAACCTCATCATGGTCAGAGCAAGGATAAAATGTGCAAAATTAAACAAAAACATTAAAATATAAAAATATCTACTTCTTTTCTGCCTCCCAGTCATGGGTCTGTGATCCCAGGTACTATAATATCCAGCAAAGTCATTTAGAAATCTTGCATAAAACATTGAGATTTACTGACTCAATTAATTGAATCTACTTAATATATAAAATTCGTGTAAATATAATTTATAGGAAGAAAATAATTTCCATAAGCCTCAAATATTCAAGAATAAATTTTGGTAACTAAAATATGAATATACATTCATGAATCTGCCTTATCTTAATTTTTTAGAATGTTGAAAGGTTTTAAATTTTGAAAATAGTAGAAGAAACATTTTTCACTTTATTTTGTGGATATTAATTTCCTGTCTGTTGCCAATTCATTATCACATTAAATAAGTGTATTTGGAAATAATACCATGTACAGTCAGGAAGAAAAATGATTCGTTTAAATTATCACCTAAGAAAAGGTGATCAAAAACAGCAAAATTCTTAACAAGAATCAAAAATTTCCAGCACTTTTATTTCAAAAGTTGATTGATTTAAAATCAGAATTAGAGAAAGACAAGGAGGGACAGAAGAGAGACATCTTCTAGGTTTTGTTTCCTTCCCGAGATGGCCACTTCAGGGACTGGACCATGCAGAAACCAGAAACCAGGAACTCCACTTGGGTCTGCCATGTGGGTGCAGGGAGGCACGCACATAGTCCTCTTCTGCTCGTTTCCACCGCCTTTAGCAGGAAACAGGATTGGAAGTAGAGCAGCCAGACCTCAAACCAGCATCCGTATGTGGTGCTGGCATCACAGGAGGCAGCTTTGGTCACTGTGCCCCAACACCAGCCCTGAATTTCAACATGATTTTTCGCACATACAGCTATTGACAGATAAGCTATGCATGTTATAATTTTAAAAGGCATGTGTTGTTTCACTCTGTATTATTCTTTAACATTTGTTAAACCATCACCAAATTAAGCAGTCTTGTAGCTACCATTTTATTTATTTATTTTACTTTTACCAGCGTCTATCACTCCACTTCCTATCCCTATCACCATTAAGAAGATAGAATAGCAAATCTAAAATATTTTACAGATCTCTTTAGAAGAGGCTTAGAGAGGAAGTTGCAAAAATTGTCCTTCACTATTTGGAATTTTACCACATAAATGGGAACATTGCCGTGCAAAAATGGTATGGACTCTACCTTTTCCTTAATAGAAACCAAGTGCATTAGAAAAGTATTTCAAAATGGGTGATAATGATCCTTTTTACAGCTTTTGGTGAACAAGATTATTATCAATTAAAAGCAAATTAGTATTTTAAGAATCAAAATTCATTACTATTAATTTACACGTGATGTTCATGCCTTGACACAACAAAGAAATTAAAAAGCAGATGCTTCATTTCTGTGGTTACCCTAACTTTTTCAAGCTCAAGTACCATGAAATAGAGGATACATAAGTTACTGCTTATCCAATGTTAGGTTTTTAAGAATTCTTTCTATGTGAAAATTTTCAAATTTAGAGGAGTGCATGAAAATAAAATTGAAAGAATTATTGCTTCAGAACAGTAGGCAATGAAGTCACCTAACTTCTAGTTGTTTACGATTAACATATCCAACAATTTTTCAGTCTTCATAATGTTCAGTGAATAGTGTGAATTTTATGTAGCCCAGTTTAATGACAATGGAATGACTCCAAAGTGCACAAATAAACAATGAGCATTACAGGAATGGCTTTGCCTTCAAGTATTTTCAGTTGAAGGTTAAAGCTTGGAGTCTAATTTCTACGTTTCCTCTGGTTGCCATGTCACTGACGGGGTTACAGCTTTTCATACTAAATAAATAAATAACTAAATAAATACTTGTTCAATGTGAATTTGCAATTCCCTACAGACAGAATTATTTTGATTCCAAAACTCTCAAAGAGTTATTTTCAAACACCTTAGACTCCATTTGGTAGAGGGCAACATGTTTTCTGGGTTCTCTAAAACAGGATTTCTCGCATAAACAATTGAATCTGATTAGGATTCACAGATTTTATTGTCTGGTACCAAACATCACAGATAGTATGCTAACTTGTTACCTCAAAGATGCATGTAATTAGAAACTATCAGAATTTTTTCAAAAATAATTCTGGAATTAATTTCATGCACCCCAAGCTAATTCACTTTCTTTGCTAAATGTCATAATTATTATGAACTACAGGGATTGAAATCCCTTTAAACATGACCCAGTTAACCAGGTGATTGCTCATGACTAGCATTAGTATATAACTAACTGATATAAAGAAAAGAGAAATCTTATATTTTACAGCCTAAAAGTAAATACCTTACAATTCTCTATTCCCCAAAATAGCTCAAAATTAGGTGTTTCAAAGATTTCTTAGAATAAAAACCTAGTTTTTGGTTATAAGGAATATGATATATAAACATGTGTTGTGGGTGGGGGGGAATGACCAGAAGACTCAGAAAGGGTAGATTTCATTAAAGTACAGTTTAACTAATTCTTTTTTCTTCATAATTACATTCAAATTACCATTAGATCAAATTATTAAGAAAGTATTGTACCTTAACTGAAAGCTTCTTTT